TCCTATATTACACAGTACAAAAAGAAATGAAAGTATCCACCTGTTTTACTCAAAGCAAATAATAACTTAAACAGTTAAGATTGTGATTTGGATTAAATCTGAACATACATTTAGTTTTATTCTTATATATGTCTAATATATTTATAGAGCCCATGTTCTATAGCTTAGTATTACTATTATCCTTATCTTCACTAATGCCTCATATTGGTATTATTATTATTACTCTGCTGCTTTGCATGTATACTGAGAGCTTCTGCAACACAGACAAATGTCTTGTGTATTTAATCACACTTGGCCAAATAAAGTATTTTATTCTGTATTATCATGGAAATAAAATAATTACTGGTTTATTGTAAAGCAATTTACCTTCACCGGTTATAGACCTAAATTTAACACTGATTGCCTTCTGACTATAGCTATAGTTTAAACAAAAACTACCAACAAAAAATGAAAAACCCAAATTGTGTATATAAAACTCTAAATCACTGGAAGGGAAATGTAAGATATATCAGAAAAGACAAGAGTGTTGCAATAGTGTTTAATACATTTGTCCCAGAGAAATAAGGGAAAATCAGATATTAACTTATTGCTGTAATACAGTCCAAAAATATACATTTGCTACAAGAATACTACATATATTCTGATGGCAATAATTGGTTGAAATTGCATGCCCACAACTCAAAATACATCAAAAAGTCCATTTTTTCTGGAACTTATGATATATAAATGGCTTCAGCAGTAAAAAAGAAAAAAAAGAAAAAAGGGGGGCTTTTTATCCAGATTCTAAACAAATGAGTTTTTATCTCTTTACTAGAATGTGTTATATTAGATGTTAGTACCTGGATTACTGATTTATAGTAAAATCAACTGCAATCCAAAAACATTTCGGATTTCTCTGTTGTTGTCTCTCACTCATATACTGTTGCAACCTTCAGCTATCTGATTTTTTTAGAAATTACAGTACTCCCAGCCAGCATGGGTTTCTGCAAATTCTAGTTAGAAGCTGTGAGGTTGGGAAAGGTTGAGTAACTAGTATAATCTATCTATCACTCTTTATAGTTCCCATTCATTTAACTAGGAAAAAAATGCCCCAAACTCCCAGGGAATTCTAACCTTAACTAACAGGATATTCAATAAAACAGCTGCTTAAAATAAAAGACAGTAAAACAGTGTCTCTACTTTTCCCGTTCAAAGCAAGTAACTCTGGAGTAAGCTGTTGCTTTTTAAAACTTCAGCAGAAACTAGTAACACATATAATGGAGCTTTGTAAGACGAATTTTCAAATTTTAGCCTGTTTTCAAAAACATCTTTTCTCACAACATGTACACAAGTTTATTCTTTATCCTTGAAGAACCTTTGTCATTCTACTTCTCTCTCAACATGAGTCAAAGGCCAAATATGAAGGGTACATTTTTTTCACCCGAGTTACCATGGAGCACACTATCATGATCGATTGATATCCTTTTATACAGCAATTTAGATGGCTTTAAAAAAGATCAGACAAAATGATTACATACAAGATTAACAGTTGCTAACCATGTTACGTATATAGCATAGCTCTAAATAAGAAGACAATAGAGAATTATAGCAAAGGGCAATTGCTCTATCCTGTTTATCGACTAATACAATCATCTAATTGATTCCTATAGATGGGCAAAAAAGGCCTTAATTTTACAGTGCTCTATTCTTACATTCTTAAGATAAAACCACCATGCATTACAAATTGTACCTTCTCTGGTCAGGAGTCATAAGTTTAAAACTGTTAACTGTTTTAAATAACTAAAATTATTAAAACTTTTTTCCAGAATTTAGAAATAGTCTTTGAAGACATTATCATAGAATACACAAGTGGTATTTCAAATACCAGTGTATAGCAGGATTATTGAAAAGCAACAATTATCAAACAAGATTACAAGTATTTAAATGGGAACAGTACTAATCTGCTTGCCACATGGCCACTTAATTTTCTTTCACATTGCAAACAAGCCAAATTTAGTCTCATATTTTCTATTTTCCCATATTAACTACAAATTTCTCAAAAACTTGAGGAACGTGTATTCAATTCAGCGGCTCTAAATGCACACTCATTTAACTTAAGTGCCTTGAAATAATTATCACATCTTGTGAGTTGGGAATAATTAGTCAGGAAAAGGCTCTTGGAATTGCAATAACTATATGTGCCCTACTTTGAAAAAGAAAATTCCATCCTGGACATATTACAAAATGAACAGAAAATTAAATTGCCAATATGTTAATATTGCCACTTTGTCTAGCATTTCTGATCACTGTACCAAACCTTTGCTTAATAGAATATGAGGTCATGAACTGAAGTTGAATCAGAAAAGATCAACATAAAAGGCAGATAAAAGTATGAAATTCACAATTATAAATAGTTGGTAATTTGGTTGGAGTTTAGACAAATTCTAAAAGGCCACCAATGGCATTAATTGTAGTGACTAGATATCTTAAGTAAAAACAAAACATAAGAACAACCTGCCTTTTAATGTTAAGTGGTTTTAAGAATACAAGCAGGAGAGACCTTTGATTTGACTCAGGATGGGTCTTCCCAATCTACTTTCTTCTCCCTCATTTTATACATTTTAAATCTATCATAAATTACTTCTGTAAGACATTCTCCTCCGTATAAAATTTTAAGATTACCAAACTTAACCAAATATCATATTAAAATAAGCATGTAAGAACTCTCAATCAAAACTGGGTAAGATATCTGCATTGTGCCAACATATACTATGGATCTGCATATGTTCTTGATTATTTTAATACATGATGTGCTAAAGCAGTGGTTCTCAACCTGTGGGTCGCGACCCCTTTGGGGGGCGAACGACCCTTTCACAGGGGTAGCCTAAGACCATCGGAAAACACATATTTCCGATGGTCTTAGGAACCGAGACACCGCTCCTCTATCTGTCTCCACACGGCTTCGAGCTGGGGGCCGTTGCAGCGCCGGATTCGTTTCCGTCGAGCATGTCCTAAGGGAGGCTGCACTGCTTCGCAGCCCTTTCCGCGGAGGAGGCTGAACTAAGCTCTGCCGGCGCTGTCGCCATCTTGGCTCTCTCTCTCTCTCCCTCTCTTTCTCTCCCCGCCTGGGCGCTTCTCCAACCAGGCTGGGTGGAGCCGGCGGAGTGGCCTTCCTGCCCCCCTCCCCGGCCAGCTGGAGCCAGGCAGGCCGGCGACCTTCGGAAGTGAGGCGAGGACAGGCGAGGCGCGCTGATCCCCGGGCGCGGCGGGTGAGTGGGCGGCATCGGTGCGCGCTTGGAGAGCCCTTAGGGTTGGGGGTCACCCCAACATGAGGAACTATATTAAAGGGTCACAGCATTAGGAAGGTTGAGAACCACTGTGCTAAAGCATCAAGATTGAAGGATACAACCACCTATAGAGTGTAAAACAGTCACTGGCTTAGTCACACTGACTTAAGATTCTCTTTAGAGCTCAGATAGTTTGGATAGAATCCATAACAAATTTCACAATTTGTTGTAAGAAGATCCCTTTTAATTGCTAGCACTGAAGGGGCAAAATAAAAATAACAACTTAAAAAAAATTACCAACTTCTGACAGACTGCCTTCCATTTCCTAGGAAGGAAATTAGTATAAGTATTTTTGGAGAAGTGAAAGCCTTCAACAATTTACCACTGAAAACTGAAATTTCAAGGAAAGATTATATATTTAAAACTAAAGTTTCAATTAATTACTGATTGCATAGATGAGCATCAGACAGATTTAGGAAAATTTCATCTCCATTTCAATTTAAATTAAACTTTAACTTGTAATGGCTGTGGACTCTTAATATATTGTTTCTTTAGTCCAAAGAATCAAAATATTCCTGAATGGAGACAAATAATGCTTAATAGGTAAAACACCTGTATCCCCATGACATACCATTCATCAGTACTTGTTAAGCCTTTCCATTGGTTTAGTAGAACAATTCTAAATACGAGGGCAATTCAGAAATAAACCTCCGTTTGGTTATCAATGACAAGACACTCGCAGATGCAGAACTTTTATTATATGCATTAGAAAACTACATTACTTTTCGACATAATCGCCATTCAAATTGAGACACTTATCGTAATGTCTTACAAGGTTTGAAATTCCTTAGTAGTAGTCGCTCAGCACCAAATCTGGGCTATGGAGGGGGGAGGGTGATGAAAAACATCCCAAGGGAACTGCTTCAAAAGTTCTTAGGTACATCTAGCAGTGTACGGGCATTATCATGAACCAACACACCGGAAATCAGAATGCCCCGACGCTTGTTATGGATGGTTCATCTGAGTTTTCGTAACATTTCACAGTAGACTTCTGAATTGGTCGAACCACACTAGCAATACTCCTCTGACATCTTCACATTTGGTGGGATTTTCTATGGCACCACTTCCGGTGTGGTGTTAATCACGATAATGCTTGCCCGCACACCACTAGACGCACCCTAGAACTTTTGAAGCAGTTCCATTGGGATGTTTTCGATCACCCCTCCCCATAGCCCAGATTTGGCGTCGAGCAACTACTACGAAGGAATTTCAAAGCTTGTAAGACATTATGACAAGTGCCTTAATTTGAATGGCAATTATGTCAAAAAGTAATGTAACGTTGTAGTTTTCTAATGCATATAATAAAAGTTCTGTATCTGGGAGTGATAACCAAACGGAAGTTTATTTCCGAATTGTCCTCTTATGATCCAGATGTCAGGTTGCCAGCTCTTGTTAAATTATACAAGAGATTCTGCATGCATGAATGATTAAGGTTCATGAACAGTATACTAGAGGTACACATCCTAATTAAAAATGTGCTTCATGTATTCAATATATACCTTTAGTAGGAATTAGCCCATTTGCACAGGGAAGGTAGGGAAGACAGGAAAGATAAAGATGTTAAAGGGGGGGGAGCGATAGCAAAAGAGACAATTTGCTATGTCACCCACAAATCAATGTATAGCTTCCATGAGATTACTCCTGAAAGAATGTAGCCCTTGCCAATAAAAAGAAAACACTTTATTTTACATCATACAACTTCCAGTCACCCACATGACAATATTCTCATAAATCATTATCATGAGAATGAGCTTCCCCAGCAATAAAAAACAAGTGTTTTACAACACTTACTAGGTAAAATTCAAATCTCCCCAAAACAGAATATTTAAAGGAAAAAAATAATATTGAAAATTAACAAATGTAGATTTTTAGGAAGCCTCCAGACTATTTTCTATAAAATGCAAAATAAAATATAAAACACAATGCACGTTCTTGCAATGTAATATACACGACTTTTAGTGTTTTGTATTCAAATAAATGTTGACTGCCTCAAAAAGTGCATACCCTGGATAAAATACCTGTTAAGCACCAATCCTACACACATTCATCTGAATCTTCCTGGACTTTGATCTGCGTACAGGACTATATTATGAAGGCAACATTGAACTCTGATGAAAGCAACTTTGCTACTGATTAAAGGAGAGCCTGCTCTAATGCATTTTGTTATCAATATCTGTAACAGATGCTTATCAACATGTACATACTGAGGTCATATTATTTAAGCTAAAGGCAATCTTAGGTATAATAAAGCTAGCTCTTTGTGGATTTTTATCATCCACAAAACCATATAGTAATATTAAAAACTGGTGGTAAATTGGAGCTATATAGATTTAGCAAATGAGATCGTGTTATTCATTTTGTAAAGTCACTCAAGAATGTGTCCTCAGAAAACATGTTAAAATACTTCCAGTGGCATCAAAAGTTATTCGAATAGTTCAGATTAAACAATTTCTGTATTTTCAGTTTTCCTCCAAATTGAACAGTCTTAATAGGAAATGAAAGGGAAAATGATGATAAAGCAATGGAATTGGTCATTTGTAGAAGAGGAAAGCTAACTTATGATGAATCCACACTGGAAGCTTCTGGAAAATTAGAAAATGGTCACTAAAATTATTAGTTGCTGAAGAAATACTTTGGCACTATGAAACAGAAGAAATAGGATTAAGTGGGGAGCCCATTTGGGTAAGTACTTTATCCAGCCACTGAAGAGGCCCATGAAGATGGATTTCTATCCAACATGGGGTGCTTGTAACATCTTGTCGGTGGTATTCTGCTCCCCATCCCTATAAAGAATGATACATATTTAACTAAATTAGAATTAGACACTGAAACAAACATTTAATACAACACTTTCTATTTTTTAAAAAGGATTTGGCTTGAAGAATGTCAGCCTCTGCTTATTTCATTCCACTCAACGAAAACATGTCATTTAAACTATCAATCCCTAATCTAATGTCTTCTAGTTTTGTTGGACTACAATTTATAAACTTTTTACCTATGATAGGCACATGATAGAGTTGCAAAACTATAACTTGGCAGAAACCCCAGTCAACACTGACCACTCAAATAGTACTGGAATTGTGATTAATCATCTCCTAAATAGGTACAGGTTACCACCCCATTTTTCTTACGTGGGAGAGGAAATACTACTATTTATTAGGTCAATAGAAAGAAGAAGGTAATCTTCATCCTTATTTCATCCTGAAAATCAATAAAGTGGAAAGGCATCTATCCAACTACCTATACATCCTTATAAGTTATTCACAAAAACAAAGAATAATAAATCTGAAATGCTGAATTAACTCTGAAGATTTGCTAATTAAATACAGTAAAGTATCCAAAATCTGTTATATGTTAAAATTGCAGTCATACTTAATACATATTCCAGATACATTCCAAACACATACAATACAGTAAATAACAAATATGCCACAACTTACCTTTACAAAACTCATTCGAATGGTGCACATTTTGGTGAGCTCATATACTGCCTCAAATCCATGATTGACTGATTGAGCTAGAAGCTGAGCAAATTCCTGATTGTTAAAAATCTTAAGACTACAGCCACTGGGAATCTTGCATACGGTTGTAGGATGAAATCCATGATGATAATTACAATTCCTACTTTGTACAAATATGCTGCTGTCGCTCAGGCATTCTGCATAGACTTCCCCACCAACATAGTACAGATGAACGCCTAGGGGAAGGAGAAAAATCCCAAATATTTAACACAGTTTAACTTGCAAAAATGATTATAGCCTCTTCCTTTCAGCTGTTAGGAACTCTAGCCAAATTTCTATTTGAAAGGATTCCAACTGTTTCCAGTTGTTTAAATATGTCAAGCAACACCAAATATCTTAACCACTAGATGTCCTCATCTTCCTTCACTCAATACATGATAGGATTATTCAATAAATAAATGATATACTACTTTTTTCTTGCCTCATCAATTGGGCTTAGTGTGCAGCCAAGCTGGTATGGAGATGGGCTTTAGGATTTTAAGTCATTACCAACACTGAATTGTATCTGGAAAGAACTTGCATGCCTTGTAGAACAAGTCTTTATAGAGTACTGCTAGTTAGCATCCTTTATTGCTCACTGCTATCCAACATTGTTTTGAAAAGCTTTTTAGAGATAGTCCCAAGGAAAGTGCATTGCAATAAAATCCAATATAAAATCAAGCCGTATCTCACTATGGCAAGTCTGCCCACATCAGGAACAGATGCAGGTAACAAACCAGCTGACATTAACAAAGCTGCTTCCCAAAATTCTATATGCAAAGCTAAATCCAGAAGCACCTAAAGCAGTGTTTCTCAACCTTGACAATTTTAAGGCATGTGGACTTCAACTCCCAGAATTCCACAGCCAGCATTGCTGGCTGTGGAATTCTGGGAGTTGAAGTCCACATGCCTTAAAATTGTCAAGGTTGAGAAACACTGACCTAAAGACTACAAACCAATTTTTAAAGAAGACACTGTACCTTGAATTGGGCTATATTCTGCCAAATCACTCTTTGTACCACAATACTATTCAAGGATATTTTAGGGACTGTGCAATTCTATCACCCGCTTTTTCCTTAATTTGTCTTTTCCAAACTCAAACCAGAAAGATAACCTGTCACGTTTAGCTATCACTCTCTCCTTCATCTCTTAACTTTTGTTTTATTTTCAGTACAACTTGTGATGACAGAATCAGGATATCTGTACAAATAGTTCAAATATGTACACCAGGTACAAGAGATTAGAAAATAATTAACTATTTGTTTACCACTAAATCTTCAGTGACAAAACTCTTAATAGAAATTTTTTTGATGCAAGGTTTCATTTAAAAAGTTGCTAAAATATCAAGCTGGCATTTGTTTTCAAACTGAATTGTTCAGATTTATAACATTTTTCCATGTGACATAATATTACTCAAAACTGTATAAGTACATTTAATTTATCCAAACTACAAACACAGCCTATTTACAATCATATAAGCATACTTCAGGATTACCTTTTCCAATGTGTCTCCGAGTGTTCTCAATTGTTGAGTTACGATTAACATTGGAGAGCAAGCCTAAGCAGAATCTGTTTTTGTTGTTAGAAGGATCTGTAAATCCATCTACTAAGATACTGGTAGAAGACGCATGAAAAGCCTCCCCAACACGATTGTTTAATTCATAATACACTATTGAACACCAGTGTTTGGGTTCTTCATAGGCCACAGGATGAACATCTACAAACAAACATGAAAAACCTGTAATAATTCCAGCATCTACAGCTTAACTACAGTATTTAGCATTTATGCATTTTTCTTATTGCTGAACCCATGTTACTCTAAGATCCTGAATTCATTAGTGAGCTATAAATGCATTAATTGAAAGAACAACAGTAAATCTTCTTAAAGCATTTTAAGAGAACTTATACCTTTAGCTAACAAATTGTGTAAGAAATATTTTTTTCTAAAGATTTCCACTTACAAATACAAATAATAAATACAGAATTAATGTTACTTTGCACAGCTGGCATGTTTAATATATGTTGAATCATTCAACTGAAGTTAGCTACTCTTTTGAAGAACAGGCCTATAAAAAAGTTCCATCTCTATCAGAAAATAATTTTATGCTACTACTATTACAGCAAATGAAAGACATTTATTTTATCTTATCATTTTCCAAATTCCAACTAGTTATTCTCCTTGGCATAACCTTGAACCTTCTCTTATCAACAGTTTGCAACACAGAAATATATATGCCCTGGAATGCAGTTTCAACTTCTTATATATGAGAATTAATAGTGTATAACCCTCAAAATTATCCCTTAACTTCCATTTAAATACACATTTAACTGCAACTTGCATTTTAAAACAAAATACCCTCAGGTCTGTATTTCCCTCACCCTTTTTGAACCCATGATTCAGATGAAAGGGTAAAATGCTGATCAGATGACATTATGCTCCTCTTTCTAGTTAACAAACTCTCTGTATCTCTAATGACCAAATTCTTAAATGTTAACAATCTCATCCCATGTAGACAAGGCAGTCTGAGGTGCTGCACTTCAAAATTTAAATAAAAGGCATGGCAATAATTTATCTTCTTCCTTCAGATAGTAATTGGCAAATCATCAAAAAGTTTCAAAATATTAACAAGTTTATCTCACCTCTGCTTGAAATACTGGGCATTATCTGAGGAATTATACTATTGCTTGTATCCATAGACTGTGAAGTATCTTGACCCATTTGGTCTTCAGGGGGCATATATGCAGGTGGTGGTGTATCAGCTACAAATGAAAAAAAAAGAATGAATATTTGAGCAGTACTAGTACATTTACCTTGAACTATCAGGTTTTTTTCAACTATAATCACTACTTGTCTTTTTTGTCATCTTCTGCCTCTTCCAGTTTTGGAATCTAACAATTTTCTATCATGAAAATGTTCTCTTCATTCTCGATTGAGGTTTCTTTTTCATTCTCTTCCTCTGCCAGTCATTTATGTCACAATCTATCTTGCTTCATCTAGTTGAAGCTCCATTTCATTTTCTTGGAATTAGAAAGAAGCGCCACCAGATTCTCTGACTGATATATTAACCTGGAAGCTATTTCCTTGATATTGAGCTCCAACTCAAAGTGATTTTAGGATTAGCTATACGATGTCCTAATTTTGAACTTATTTTACTGCATAGTTATTGCTATTTTCTGCTTTCGATTTATTCTCGGAACCTCTACAACCTTTTCTCCCTCTCCTTTATATCTCTTTGTTTCTATCTCCCAATCAATGTCTATTTAATCAACATGAGTACAAATATAGCATAGCCTAAATGTAATTCTAATTCCCTCTGGTTTTATAATACAAGTTCTACTTTTCAATGTTTGCCATACAAGTAGTTCTTACCTGGTAGCTGAAATGGGCTCGATGGTCCAGAACTAGCTGGAGAATTTGGATAGGTATTGCTGCCTGGAGATGGTGGGTATGGACTATTTGGAGACATGGGAAATGGAGTGCTGTTGGGCTGCTGGAATGAATCTGGAAAGGTAGCATTGTGTGGCATATGTGGTTCATTGTGAGTTAAGTTTCTAAACTGAACCAAAAGGCTATGCTGTGGGTTAAATTCACTATGCCTTGGCACCAAGACAGGAGGTAAAACTGAAAAAGAAAAGAAAAAGAGAACATATTAAAATAGTGTTGAAGATTTAGACAGATCATAATTAGCTCTTGAGGAGTAAAAGTGCAAAGAAAGAAACATATGCCAGAAACCTATTGTTTCCCCACTTGGAAAAGTTACTACTGGAATGTACAACTTGATGGCCAAGGCCATATGTTGCTCCATAGTCTTGAGCCCCCAGATTTCCTCTTGAACTTGTTGCTCAATTATAACTTTTAATTTAACAAAAGTGAAAATCATTAAAAGCATAAGAATTATATCTAATATTTAAATTGAATCAAGATGTTTTGCCCTGGACAGTCCCCCTTTTTTAAAATTCTATCCAAGTTCCCCACTGAAGTTCTTGGATTTGAAAACTTGCAAACCCATGGAGATTATCAGTGACCAATCCATTTGCAATTGAACTAAACTTGTACAGAACTCTAATGCAGCACAAAGCTTTTCTGCATTAACTAAGACAATTGGAAAGATGCCTGAACAACTGTGATGTAAATAACAGAACATGTAAAAAAGAAATATTTTTGGAAACATTTTCCAGATTTTCAATAATCAATACATAAATTACTTTATGTATTGATTACTGAGAAAGACAAATTCTTATTTAACAATAATCAAATAAATTGATATTGCTTCTTATCACCAATACCATGTTTCCCCCAAAATAAGACCGGGTCTTATATTAATTTTTGCTCCAAAAGATGCATTAGGGCTTATTTTCCAGTTAGATCTTATTTTCAGGGAAATACAGTTCTAAATGCATCAGTCTGGCTAATGATCTTATCTGGGGCTTATTTTGGGGGGAGGGCTTATATTACAAGCTCCTGAAAAATCATGCTAGGACTTATTTTCCAGTTTGGTCTTATTTTCAGGGAAACACAGTAGTTTCAAATAGCATAAAGTTCAGGGAGGAAACAATCAAAAGCAGGATTCATATATCTCATTATGCCATTATGGGGTTATGTTTTGGTTTAAAGCAATGGCTGTATCAGCATGATTTGTAGACTATGGTTTACAGGATAGCTCTATCATCTATGGACCTGGCTATTAGGGGATGCTCAACAAATTATGGTAAAAGCAAACCAAGGGTTGATGTAATGTGTGATTCTGGTCTACAAAGTATCAATGTTCCCAGACGCAATTCCCATGTACCAATTTGTCCCTCCCATTTTCAATTTGCTGCTCCTCAACAAGTCAACTATTTTTTCATGGGTAAAGGCATTGAGACACACCTGGGCTCTCCACCCTTTTGTAATGATATGGATTGATACAAACTTCTTTCTGTTTAGATCCAAAAGGAAATTCACAAATGTCCAATGGCTTCAGCTCATGATGACTCTGCAAATCAGGCCAACGCCACACACGGCAGTAAATCACGTGGGGAAGGCCTTTGCGGTGTGATACTTGAAGTCGCCCATCTAACGAACGAGGAATTGTAACACATTTGCTGGGTTGTCCAGGACTACTTAGTGCCTTTTCCAGTTCCTCCATGGCTCCTTTTTTCTTCTTTAGCTTTTTTACTAAAGCATCGACTGCTTTTTCTGCCCATTTTTCTTCTTCATCACCTTGTTTCCAGCCCAACAAGCGTTTTACAGCTGGGCTAGTAAACGAAAACAGACTGGCCATTGAGGTCATTTGACAAGTTTTAAAGCAATTTTTAGAACAAAACTGCTGATTCTCAAACACAAAAATAACCCTGCAACTGCAGCAGTGGTTAAATTCTTTTTAATCCAAGAAAGTGATTTTTCTTAAACCTATAAGAAAAATTACAGAACATCAGTTGATGCCAGTTTACCAGAGAAATGAAGGCAAACACAGAGAATAATTGGGTAATTTTAAACCTCATTAAATTTAAATCAAACATGATGCATATTATTAACAGCCTTTTAATCTGAACCAATTTTCATGCCACCGGGATAACACTTAAAAGAGAAAACAGTTGGTGGCATTAACAAAGGAAGTCCTTTGAGCCAAACTCCTTCTATCATTCACAAAGCCTAATCATTTTGTTAAACAGAGGGAAAAGCTTGGATTTTGTTTGTAAAGATACATGAAAAGATGAAGTTTATTTTAACATGAACTGTTACTGAAATGCATGGTATATCTTAAGAGAAGATGTGCATCTATTAAGACATCAATGGAAATACTCTGGTGATTTCTGAGCTATCTAAACGATAGCAATTAGGCACTGGAAACACTCTGGTGATTAAAAACTGATAGCAATTAGGCACTCTGTACACAAGAGATTCTATAATAAAGTTCCAGTTTTGAGAAGCTACTATAGGTTTCTGAGGTTTTACTCCTACTACTCCTTTCTGCTAACCCATCCTGAAGTTGGTGTTGTCATAAAAAGAGAATCTATGTCTTTTGAAGAGACAACAACTGTGTGGATTTCATTTAAAGGAATAGAGCAGTGAATGATCAATGGTGCAGGCAGCAGTAGAAAAGCGAGCATTCTCTGACAAAGGAACCAGTGAAGCCCCTTGTTAGGGAACATGGCTCAGACCCCAAGAGTATCAATCTGGATTGCTGCAGGACAGGAATGAGTTACAAACAGCCCCTTTTTTTTTATTACTAACAAGGTCCATCTGCAACTCTCTTTAAAAAAATAAAAAGGCGTAAGGATGACAAACGGAACTAATGTGCTGTGGCAACATGTTGATAAGACCTCATAAAATCCCTGAAGAATACTCAACAAGTACAGACATAGACAATAGGCAGCTGGCAAAAAGCAGCACTAAACAAAGAGAAAGGATGTCAATAACAAGTCAGTTCCGTTTCTGCTACAGAAACTGCCAAATATTGTCTATGGGTTTTCTGATAAACTGCAGCAAGTCAAAACAGCTAGCCCACCCCACTGCATTTTCAGTCCATCAAACATGAGGCATTAAAAGGGCAGGAAAGCTGCTTCCTTGCCTTGCTAATTCTCAAAAAAAGAGGGTGCTTCTTAATAACGTTGTAGGAAAATGTGCCTGGCAATCACAGCTACCTGTTTTTTCAGTTGCGAGGAGAAGACAGCGGCAGGCCGCAGGAGCAAAGACAGGCAACAGTTTTTTACCATCTGCATTCTGCATCTCTGGAAGAGGTGAGGAAAGCGCGGACAACTAAACAAGAAAAAGCACATAGAGAACAATCCAACAGCAGCCATCACAGGCGTTTCTTCACTCCCCTTGCTAGGAAACTATCAGGATGCCACAGGTGCTGACTTGGTACACTCTACATTATCATACTAGGGTTAAGCTGACAAAGCACATTTCCTCATTCAGAAGTTTAGTTCTGTATGTGCTGCCCAAGAGGCAATAAAGGGCTGTTCTCCTCCAAAAGGCAGGTTAATCCGTGTCCGAAACGTACAAGAGTACAAATGCTTACATGCCCGAAGAGACCTGCAAACAACGAATTAAAAGTTCCCCGCTTAATGGCGAACCAGATAGAAGGGGAGGCTGAGCTCGCTTGTGTTTTGGGAGAAGAACCCCACTGGGCCGCCAAAAGACCCTACCCCATCAGCTCCTGATCGAGGGCGGCCAGAAAAGGCAGGTTGCGTGGCCTTGCAAGGCTAATGCTTTAAAGCAGTGTTTCTCAACCTTGACCATTTTAAGGCATGTGGACTTCAACTCCCAGAATTCCACAGCCAGCAATGCTGGCTGTGGAATTCTGGGAGTTGAAGTCCACATGCCTTAAAATGGTCAAGGTTGAGAAACACTGCTTTAAAACTACCTTCTGCAATATCGATCCGTGTCACATTGCCCGCAAGCGTGGGCCAGGCCCAAGCCAGGACACCTCGGGCTCCGGTCCCGGCGGCCAGTCTGGCCCGCCGCAGAGTTTCGTGGCGGGGGGGGCGGGAAGTTTTGCTACGAAGAGCCCCCCCACCCTGGCTTGCGAAGCGAGGAAGCGCCTCGCGCGATGCGGACGCTCGCTCTACCCCCAGCGGCGCTGGCTTGCAAAAGGCGGGCCGGGCGGAGAACGATTCCCGCCGCCACTTCCTCACCCAGTCAGCCACGAAGGGCGCCCTCCTCCTCCTCCTTTGCCCCCCCCCTCCCCCCGGCTTTTCCAACGGGCTTACCTACCTCCTGACGCGCGGCTGGCGGCCGAAGAGGGAAGCGGCAACCCCGGCCAGGGGACCGACAGACCCGCCGAGGAGGGAGAAAGGGGCGGAGTCAGGCATGTCAGTCGAACCGAGGGCTCACGTGACAGGCCGTAAGGCGAAACGCGGCTGGTTGAGCCTGGGCGTCACTCAAGCGCCCGAAGCCTGTGATTTGCAGAAGGAAGGAAAGTGGGAGGGAGCGTGCGCTCGGGCTCTGGGGGATGGGAGGGGGAGAGGAGGAGTGCAGGCCTGGTCTATCGGTTGCTCTTATGCAGCGTTTTGCGCTCGCTGCGTAACTTGCGTTTTGTTCCTAGCCTTTGGCCTGGCTAATCGGCTACCCGGCTTCCTCCAGTGATTTCATTGCGGCTTAGCGGCTCAGGATGTTTCTCGGGTTCAGATACTTCTACTCCCTAAGGGAGAGACTTGCCAACGAAGTTAGGAGGTATAAAAATTTGCACGATGTAAGCAAGGGATTAAAAACTCGGACGTAAATGCAATTTCAGGGAGAGAAATTAGAAGAGCTTCGGAGGAAGACCCAGACAGCTGCAAAGAAAAGTGGAAGCAACTGGGAGACAAGTTTGTCAAGCTTAAAAATAAAAAATGAAATCAAAGAGCAGGGACCCTGGGCCAAGGGAACAGACAATTCCTGCCCAATATGTATGTAAATGCTGTCCTGGCTGGAAGGATTGATAAAACATCGGGGAACTCAGACCAATTTCAACTTGTGCTGCACCTAAGGTAGGAAAACTATATCCCAGACCATTATTATATATGTAAAAAACTGGGTACATAGTTTCTTTTGACCCACAATGCACTCCTTCCACACATGGAGCTTTGGAATCAATAATAATCACCTCTGTTCTGACCCAGATATGCATAGGCAAACAGCACCATATTATCAATTTTTTCTTAATCTAGAACTTCATGCTAGTTTCATTGGTGTGTTTAAAGGCTATGCATGTAATCATGTATCTGTTCAGACAATCATTTATACAAATTATATCATTGCAGTCTGAGGATGTCATTCCAGATCCTGTAGAGCAAAACTTGAATACAGAGGTCATCTCATCCACACCACACCTCCTGTCCAGGGACTCGAGTGTCTGATTGTGATGATGAAGCATCAACCAGTGCATCCACAGTGTCATCAATAAAGGCACTAGTCCCTCGCCATCTCCGGGGAGGCCAACGCCACTTGCTCACTGACTTCCTGCCCTGTCACTTCCAAACACCACATGGTACTCTTCCAAACACCACATGCTACTGGCGAACTCTACTGGGGCAACGGCGCACGTGCCCACAGAGAGGGCTCTGAGTGCTGCCTCTGGCACACATGCCATAGGTTCGCCACCACTGCACTAGTCCCTCAATCAAGAAAGAGGAGGAAGAAGATGGGAGGGACGAGATACTGGACAGCATTGCCACCCTATGCTGGGAGCAGCTTCAAATCTATACTACAGTGATGTCCAAGTGAGCATCATCAATAGCAGGACATATATTGACGAATGTACAACTTTTGCACTGGATGTTGCAGACTCTTTGCAGAAATTTCCGCCAGAATGTGTGTAAGCCACAAAATCCAGAATCTTCACTGCACTTACAGATGCAATAGTTTTGACAATTCAAAAGTGTTGCATTGACAATTCAAAACTTTCACATTTACTGTTGAGAAATCTATTTTGTATAAAAGTTTTTGAATTCAATTTTCACTCAGTTTTTCTGACAGTTTCAAATTATTCTGCTTTACATATACCGTATATTATAATAGAACCAAATGAAGGCCAAAATAAACTACTTTTGCCTGCCTGTGATAGGGTATTTGTGAAGTTCTTTGCTATAAAAGGAATGTAGATAATTAGAATTATGTTTTATTATTACTTGTTGTTACAACTGTTGCTTAAATTACCTGATAGTTTTTTTTTAACAAAACCACAAGTCAGGCTAATACTTTTACGTGTAACAAAACATACAGCAAACCTTGGTTGATATTCAAGATAACACACTGACCAAGTTTCTTCTGTACAGAACTTATTGATGACATTTAAGTTATCTGGGTGTGTAGTTTAAGCAGGGTCAGTTCATTAATACATTTACACTTTTTAGTTGGTGCCACCTCAACAATGCATCCTAGCCAGGGCATCTTTTCTGCTGGAGTCTGGAAAAACTCCATCAGGTTCCTGCAGACTCCTGCAACAGCACATGATATTCTGGTGTTTGACGATGTCCAGAAGTTACAAGCCAGTTGTCATTTGCTACCTGCTTTCTCCATTCTCCCTCCTATATCCTACCTGATATTGAAACAGTATCTACAAAGTTTGGTAGCACATATCTTGCTGTTGGTGTGGTTGATGGTATCAGTACTAATGAGGTAATTGTGAAGAGTAACACATACCTTGACCCCTCAGTGACTTTGGGTGAAACTCCATGGGCTGCCAAAGAATCTGCCACTTGCAGTCAGAATTCCAAACTGTTCTCTATGATCCGTCTTGATCTTGGTTGATGATAGTTACATAAGCAAATCCGCCCCTCAAGATTAGAATCTGCAGAAGAGAAACAATTGCAGTAGTAGGAATAATAGGATAGACTTTGGCAGCTAATGATTTGGATGCATCATTACAATGAGAGAAAAAAATCAGTAAAATGTTTTTATTTAAGCTAGTTCAATTTTA